TGAAACTCTTTTAGCATGGTTTCTTGCCAAACACAATGTGAGGCAGCCTGCTGGTGGTTCTTGCAGCTGTAGCTCAGTAGTGGAAACCTTGGAGTTTATAGAGACAAGGTTGGCAGGAAGGACGGAAGAACAGACATAATCTGACAGGTAGGAAGGAGGGTTAGAGACCCTGGTAGAATGCCTAATAGGCAAGGTGTTAGGAGGCGGAATAGGACCATTGAGAGGAAGAGAGGCAGTGGAAGAAACAGGCATAGCAGGTGGTTCTTGATGGTGGGAGGAAGAAGGAGAAGGATTAGGATCAGGATGACATTCATGAGGTACAACAGGAGGAGTTGGTAAAGGACCAGTGGAGGAGTGAAATGAAGAAGGATCTTCAAAGGAATCAGAAGAAGATGGAGCAGAGGAATAGGGAAAGATGTGCTCATGGAAAACTACATCTCTAGAGAAAAATACATAATGATTAGAGAGATTAAGCAATTTATAGTCCTTTCTTCCAAAGGGATAACCTAGAAAAACACAGGCAACAACTCTGGACTGGAATTTGTCTCTTCCAGATTTAAGGTTATTTGCAAAACAAAGATCACCAAATGATTTTAGGTGGTCATAAGTAAGAGGAGTTCCATGCAATTTTTCTGAAGGAGTAACATTAGCCAAAACAGATGAAGGTAGTCTATTGATAATGTAAGTTGCAGTTAACACACATTCACCCCAATATTTGGTAGGGAGTTTGGATTGAAACAGAAGAGCTCGGGAAGTTTCCAAAAGATGTTTGTGTTTCCTTTCTACCACACCATTTTGTTGTAGGGTGTGAGGTATAGTGGTTTGGTGTAAAATACCATTGTCAGCAAAGAAGGAAATAGCCTCTGAACTACTGCCTAATTCAAAAGCATTGTTTGATTTAAAAGATTGGACAAAAGATTTGAAATGAACTTTGACCATCATAGTGAAAGCTTTGATTACAGAAAGGGCATTGCCTTTGGAAGATAATAAGTGTGTTCAGGTGACTAGTAAAATCATCTACCAAAGTGATGAAATATCTAAAACCATTATATGTATTTAGTGTGGTAGGGTCCCCATATATCTGTATGTACTAACTGGAAAGGTACAGTTGAATGAATATGACTATCAGAGAAAGGTAGTCTTTGTTGCCTAGCCATAGGACAAATAGAACATGCAAATGATTGTTTAGAAGACACTTGAATAGATAAACATGGAATAGATTTCAGCTTGTGAAATGGCATATGGCCTAAGCTTTGATGCCAAAATAGATCCATTTTATTGATAGTACTAGATGAGTTACATGTAGAATTGGGAAAACAGGTGATAACATTTGCTGTAAATGAATTATAAACAGTAGGACAAGAAACATTAGAAGAAAATGAAGGAGTAACCATATCAGGTAGCAGAAAATAGAGCCCATGAGCAGCTTTACCAATTTCCAACGGCCTCTTCAGAGAAGGGCCCTGTAGAAAACAGGAGAAACTGGTAAAGATTGCTAGACCTTTCACTTGACAAAGGATTTGATATACTGAAATTAAATTGAATAGAAAAGAAGGAACCAAAAGAACATTGTGTAAAGTTATATCCTGCCTAAGATGCAGAGATCCAGTAGAAATAACTTTCACTTTATACCCATTTGGTAAGGTGATTAAGTAAGGAGAAGGTAAAGGTTTAATATTATATAAAAACTGTTTGTGCGGGGTCATATGATTGATGGCACCTGAATCTAAAATCCAAGGAATTCTTCCTAACTGAGCAGACAAGGAATGCATAACGCATAACAGAATTTACTGCAGGAAACTGATTTACAGGGAGATTGCGCACACTTGCAAAGTTAGCAAAACCAATGTTTTCTCCGGGAGAAGTGGACTGAGGATAACCAGAAGAAAGATTTGCCTGTTGGAAGAGAGTCATGAGATGTTTATATTGCTCCTTGCTGAATCCATAAGCAGAGTCCGAAGAATTGTTGTTAGTGCCAGTAGCAATCAAGTTTCTTGCAGAAGAATCCCCGACTTGAACACATGCAGCAGACCTCTTGGACTTAGTAAACTTGAATCAGCTGGAAACCCATGGAGTCTATATCATTTGCCTATACTATGCCCAGGCTTCTTGCAATATTTGCAAGTCACAGGAGAAGTAGACCTCTTAGACTCAAAATTTACCCTTTGATTATATGGCCTATTGGAGGAAGAAGAGATGCCAGATGAAGTAGAGAATGAGGATGCTAAAGAAACCCATGAGCTATGGACTTAGCTTCTTTTTCACTTTCATCTTGTTGTAAAAGTGAATCGGCTTTGCTGATGATTGGATAAGGGGACATCATTAAAATGCTACTTTTGACTGTGGAGTAGGTCTCATTTAACCCACTGAGAAACTGAAATAGGTGTTGGTCCTCAATAAATTTAAGAAGTGCACCACATGAACATGCTGGGCCAACATAGGCAGAATTGAGTTCATCCTAGAGACTCCTCATTCTGGTAAAGTAGCTAGCTATATCAGATGTCCCTTGAGAGGTACTACTAATTTCCCTATGAATTTGGATATACTTGGAACCATTTTGACTGACCATACCTATCATTTATGTCTTTCCAGACTACTTTAGCAGTGTTGAAACACATAACACTCACAACAATTTCTCTAGTCAAGGAGTTAGTAATCCAAGCCTTGACCATGTTATTGCAACGCTCCCAAAAGGGATAATAAAGGTTGAGGTTGAGGTATCCTACCAGTTATCACCCCTAATTTGTTTTTAGCTGAGAGAGAAGTCAACATACTGCTACGCCATATAACGAAGCCAGTTCCATTAAAAGGAATGGTGACTAATTGACTACCGGGAATGTCGGATGGGTGAACATAGAAAAGGTGACACAGATCAAGAGTGAATTCACTAAAACCTACAGAATCAGTCGTGGTACCATGAAAGTCCTCAGTCAAATTCGTGTTAGTACTCATTGCAATCAGCAAATTCAGCAGCAAAAATACAACAAAAGAAGCAGTAGTGTTGTGAAGATACAGTAGATGTAACCCAGACTAATATTGGTTGCAGTACTTGAAACGAACCCTAGGAATCAGCCCAAATCGAGCATGCAATAAGGAAAGTGAGAAGATTTACCAATCGTCTATAAAATCGAGAGGATAGAGAGTACTGAAGCTCAGGTTTGAAGTTATGAAAGCAAAAACCTAATTTTCCATTGCCGAAGAATCACCACATCGAGAAAATCTCCAAAAATTCGTTCAAGGGTAGGATCGGGCGATAGCTGAGGTTGAGATCGTTCCAATGATCCCGCTCTGATACCATGTTAAGCTGATTATTTGCAAAAATTGAAAGAAATGAAGAAGAAAACCCTAGGTCGGGTAGATGAGAGAGAGAAGGAAAAGAATGTTTTATTTCATCATGTCAAATGATTCTGTACAGAAATGATAAATCCCCCGTGCTATCTTAAAATGGGCCTAATATACTAATACAAAATACAAGTACAATTGAAATGGGCTAGCTGTGCATATTGGGCCCAGTACTACTTATCAACTATTGGGCATCGTCATGTGTGCTCCATTCATCTCAACAAAAAATGAAGTGATTCAGAACTGTCCAATTTATTGATTATACGTGCAGAAGCTAACATCAATCAAAGATTTGTCTGTCTTGTTTTACATCTGTGAGCCGAATCTTGCAACCGGTTCATTACTAATATTATGTGACTCTCCACTGTTTCTTTGATGTTTTACTTTATTACAAACTTATGCTGGTCAACACTTATTCTTGATGCTTTAATGAAGGCTGGGACAGGGACGGGAGAAAGCATTGCAGTATTTGAGAGAGAATCCTCTTCTCTCTGAAGAAATAGAGAAGGTAATTATACTCACTTTTTAGGTGCATTTTGGAAGTGTTTTACTTGTCATATTGTGTAGCATAAGTTCAATATCTGAAGATAACCTGGGAGGTTTTAAGCGAATAAATAACCTGATAATAAAAGAGAACTAATAAAGCAAACATCCTCAGTTTATTTGCATATTAGTTATGGAAACTATGGCCATTTTGTGGTCATAGTCCCATAAGCGAAGATACATTTTTATATGTCGTAGTTATTGGCTTAACACAACGGGAGGTTTCTTGTACACTGTAAATCAATATTTTTGGGGTGTAGAAATGACATTATCTATCTGCCCGTGCAGATGGTTCGCTCATCCGTGGTAGACGCAACTGGGTTTTTAGGCTCTTCTTCATCAAAACACCCACTGCCACAGCTTCAAGAGGAAGATGCACTTCAAGAGATGCAATAACAGGAATCAGAGTTCTGCTTTGATTGATTATGACAACAAATTTCGCAACCAATATTGACATCCATCTGATTCTATAGAAGAAATGAACAAAATTGAAAGAGTCGATAGAATTGCTTTGTATGAGACCATTTCTGTACTCTACACTGTTGAAGAAAGATGTATATTCTTGTATACTAGTACATCTTGGTGGGGAGAAGGAGATAGATACGTCCTTCATTGCTGGACTGGTTGCCTGTTGTGCAAACAAAAATGCTTTTTCTATTTTGGACGTCTAAATTTTGTGGGTGACTAGATGTCACCTAAGCCAAAACAAAAGAATTAGAGTTAAGGTAGTGAAAAGGACTATGTAGTTAGCTCATTACTGCATATTTTGTCCTTGTGGTTTTGTTGTATTGTTAGCCAGCATTTATGATCGAGCTCTTTTCTCTGTACAGCAACTTTAAGAGGTCAAAATTGTACCATTTTGTTGGACTTGAAAGAAAACAATATTTGAACATTTAACAATGTGCTAGGCTAATGAAGATTTTTGCTAGCATCGTGGAATTTCTTTACATCTGCATTGGATGTAACATCTTACTGTTGCATTGGTATTATTTTTTGAAAATGGCTGTTGCATTGGTATTATTATTATGTTATGTACTGGCAGGCTAGTCATTAGTTCATGGAAGGTAGTCAATCTGATTAGGTGATTAAACTTATAAGGTTAAGATTACAAGACCTTAGATAAACATTATGTTTAATATATCCACAGTAAAATCACAGCGATTACAAGATTAATCAAGATGGCAGGAAATATTTTGTAGTGCAAAGTATTCTTGAAAAGACATGGTGCGAGCTGGAATACAACTTAAATAGGAGTACAAGGATAACGATCTACTGTGCCAAAGCACTTGTGTTGAAAACAAGGAGAGCACCTCCAGCTAGAATGCCAACCAAGGTGACTGCCCATATGGCTAAGCCAGTGGTACCTGCAATTTTTACCATCGTTCAAGCTTAGAAGAAAGAAACAAATATAGAAACTCATTCTGTATTAAATTGTTAGGGATTAAATGGAGGCTGAAAAAGCACAACTGAAAGGCTACGCGAATCAAGATCTAGACAGGGGCGGAGCTAGAGTGTTCCTAATGGGTTCGGCCGAACCCAGTAGCTTTGGTTTGAACCTTATATTTGTCTTAAAAAGTTCATTGAATATATATAAAAATTATTAATTTAGAACCCAGTAACTTAAAATAATTTAGGATCATGAACTCATAAACTTGAAATCCTGAATCCGTCTCTGGATCTAGATTCCTTGACTTCAAAATGAATATGATCTTATTGTATGTACTCTATATTTTGAGCTAAAAGCAAGGGTTTCATATTAAATTTCTTGGAATCCACCCTAAATTATAGTATTCTTCTCTTGGCTATTTTGTAGAAGTAATCATCATCAACCAATTTCAAAAGTGTCATACCACCAACATAGACATCACCGCTTGGAGACCAATCATCTGTGTTGTAGATGGGGCTGCATTTGGATAAGACAAAGTAATTAGATTAATTTTTTTATTAGTGGGAATTACGTTAAGCAAAGAAGTTAATTTTTCACTAACCTGTATCCATCAACATTTGCTCCATATTTGTCAACGAATTGGTAAACACCCTTTCCCTGAACATAACCAACGGTTTTGCTTATATATTACAATTTACAAGTGTCACAGCACAAAATAATTTGACTATTTTTTGGGTCTATGAATTTCGTTTACGTAGGCTATGATATAGTTATCTTCACGATCAGACTACAATAATCAACGCATTCAACTTTTGGTGTAGATCTAGCCATAGATTTTAAAATTTCATGATAAAAATTTACATACTTATATTTGAAAATATGATATCAAAGAATAGAAATTTTTTGCCCTCATAATTAACAATATAATACTTGAAATCAAAAATTGTAGAAACAAACCTTGGGCTTCCTGCCTGAGGCATCAACGCCGTCTCTCAAGCTCATGCTTCCATTAATTCCTAATGACAAAACCAAATGGTAGCACTTTATAATCAGCAGATAGAAGGAAGAAACAACGTAACATATGGGAGAATATATCTACAACATATACAAACCCAAAACACGATTTAGAAAGTGAAAATGAAATCTGGCAAAACTGGGGTTCATTAAAGAGCTGACGGAAAAGGATTAAAAACACGCCTACTCTATACAAAATATCTTAATTAATTTCATTTTCCATTATACTTTGTGATTCATACGTTCATCGTTAGCAAATCACGCCCTAGACCCTTATGGTGCTGTATACTGGAGGGTAATTTTAAACCATAATAAAAGTCGCTGGTTAAATTTGGAGCTTTTACAAAAGTATTTTGATATGCGGAATTCTTCCGGTTAACACTAAAGCTCTATTAAAGTCAAGGTCAAGTACCAGACAATTTGCTAACGGTAAAAATATGAATAGCTATAGAGTACAACAAATAATAAGATTAAGATATTTCGTATAATATCTGGGTAAATTTGGACCTTTTTAAGAGATTGACGAATATATATTAATACATAATTTTTGTACTTTTACGTCACTTAAAAAATCTAGAAGAATTAATCTAAATAGCCGCATATCCAACCGCTTAAACTAAAATTAATTGGCAAATTTTATGCATAATCAGTATATAATCTATATATCCGCCTAGAAAAAGTAAACAATGACTCCGACGATCTATTTGTCTAAAGATCTACAAAATCTAAGTAGAGTAACTTTAACAGCAAAGACGATTAGTAAGATGTAAAACATGATAATGACCTATTACAATAGATAAAATTGCACCAATAATGTAAAAGCTACTCCCTCCGTTTCAATTTACGTGAACCCATTTGACTGGGCACGGAGTTTAAGAAAAGAGAGAAAGACTTTTGAATTTGTGGTGTAAAATGAGGCACATATATTTTGTGCGGCTATAAATCATTGCATAAAAGTAAATTGTTTCCAAATAAGGAAAGGGTCGTTCTTTTTGGCACGGACCAAAAAGGAAATAGGTTCACATAAATTGAAACGGATGGAGTATAATACTATCGATGTATATAACCAAGTTAAAGTGCACGTGGCAAGAATCGGAGGAAGAAATATACTCCCTTCGTTTTAATTTCATGTGAACTCATTTGAGTGAGCATAAAGTTCAAGAAAAGATAGAAGTTGTGGCGTAAAATGATAAGGAAAGAGGTTACTTTTTTGGCACGGAATAAAAGAAAATAGGTTGAAACATACCGTAAGGCTTGTCAGTTTTAAGCTTCTTGACACCACTAGCTTGAACTCTGAAGGAAGAAGAAGACCTAGCAAGTGATGGCAGTCCTTTCACTGCTGTCTTCTCCACACTGAAAGTTGCAGGTTTAAGGCTCAATGAGCTCATTACTGTGCTTGCCATTTCCTATGCTCTCTTTTCTTCTTCTTCTTCTTCTGCTCTAACTTGTAAATGTGCTCCTTTAGGCTTGCATGGTCCCTTGATAATAATATTAGTGAAGACTTGCAATTTGTGATTTACAACCTTACACGTGGCACCTCTTTTGTGGATTGCTTCTAGATAATGATATTACCAGCATTATCAATATTACAAAGCTCCTCCATCTGCTTGTTTAAACCTCCTCTACAAATTACTATTCTCCTTATCCTAATGCTCTACAGTTGGAGTCCATTCATTGGTTTCTTTCGATGCCCATAGGGCCCAAGAGATTCACTTGCTTCCCTACATTTTTGTTTTCCTCATTCTTCTTTTTTTCCCTTTCATTTACTCTGTCCACTAGAGCTAGCTAGGAAGAAAAAGACAGCCTGATTGTTTTCACTTTCCCCCTTGTCCTCAATATAGACGAATTTAGAATTTCTAGAATATGAGTGTACCGTTAAAGATGAAATAAAAGAAAATATTAAGTGTAAATCGATCATTGTTCCTTTAGGTAAATAATTTAACATTCAGCCAAATAGACCATTCAATATTTTGTAGTATAAGAGCCGGCAGATAATATTAAATCAATTATAGAAAATATATACATAAGAAACCTAGTTTGACAAAAATACTATGGGTTCACTTATATCATATTTTGGGCACTAAATACACTCCTGGTCCGGTACTAGTATGTGTAGTGGTGTTTAAGCCATATGAACTGAAGTGACATAATTTATAATTATTTTTTCGTTTGGATTTATACAGACATAGTTTGATTGAATACAGATTTAGTATCTTCCGATTTAACTTATATGACATAGATAACGGGATATGAATTAAAGAAAGACTTTAAAAATTTGTGATCTCATAAATTTGTGTGATTATTAGACTCCATGTTCGACTTGAACATACAACATAATACTCCTCCCGTTTCAATTTAAATGGTAGTTTAACTTTACACAAATTTTAAGGAAAAAAAGATAACTTTTAAAATATGTGATCCTAAAAATTTAAGGGCAAAAATTTTGTAAGACCATGACATTTGTGTAACTATAAAAGCTTCTCATTAAGCATAAAGTGGATAAAATAAAAAGTTTAAAGTTAAATTATTTCCAAATATAGAAATGTATCATTCTTTTTTGAACGGACTAATAAGGAAAGTGTGTCATTTAAATTGAAACAAAGGAATTATCTAATAAGGAATGCAAGTTAAGTTGAGCCACGGATCCCCTTTGCCAAAATATAGATGGAATATATGGACATGACATTTGTCACATTTATTGTTTGACACGTACCAATAGGACCTGCTGACTAAGAATATGTGAGGTTGGGCTAAATTTGTATGGGTCAAAATGATTTGAATCATTAGATTGGCCATGACCCGATCCATTCTAAAGTTTAGCTGAGTTAAGGTGAGCTTAGTCAAATTAGGCTAAACAATGGGTTATATCCCACATTTTACTATCCTGGAAACTAGAGAACTAAGCTGCCTAGAAAAGAGCCGAATTTAGTTGTTGAATTGCCATGCCTTTGAACTCGATTACAGACAAAACCCACTGAATGCAGCAAATTGGCATTTAATTCCTTCAGTATCTAACTGAAGCATTAGAAATAGAATTTGAAAATGTTGGTGTTGATGTTCTTTGCTATCATGCAATCTAATGCATGTGATCTGCCACAGAGTGTAATTTGGTAATCATCTGAAATGCAGCTGACTCTTGTGCTTCAGAGGGGCTGGAATGCAGATCACTCTCACAAGAATATAGAAAGTCAACCCCCTTTACAGTAACTCTAGCATGAAATCCACCTATAAGAAAGTGAACTGAAAAGATTAGTTGAATCTGGAAATTTAAAGGGAATTAGTACCATTAAATGTCATAAATTAGATTCTATCCGGTTGTGAGCAGCCAATATAGGGAATTTCTGTTTTCCTTTTATAAGAGGGAAATTGTGTTTCAGACAATAAATAGGTATTACTAGCTTGTCCGACAGATGAAACCCCCCCTCCCAAATGCATTATGTTCAGCAGTGAAGCATTAATGGAAAGACAGAACAAAATCTTGGAGGGTTACACAATCTTGGGAATTTCACCACAGAAACAAATGAAAATTATAATGGGGAAGGAAATGTCAAAAGTGGGTTTCATGTTAAAAGATGATGTTCTTTTACGGGAAATAAACAATAAAAAGTCGAAGCACATTGTACTAAGATGCCTAAAAGGAATCGCATCTTATTTCAAAATCACTATGTATTGTGAAGCAAGGTCTGGATAGGTAAGGGCAGTACATGAAAGAATCATCACATGATATGGTTGAAGATGAGGTTAATGTTGTCAAAACCCTCATTAGGTACGGTAGATTACTAGAAACCCCAAGACAAGGCCAGTGGAGTAGAAGAGTATGTTTGAGTGATGTGCCAGAAGTTGCAGGGGAAGTGCCAGTGAGAAAGTTTGAGAGCAAGTACACATAGACATTCACCAGTACAAGCACATGTATGCCTGGGAGACGAATAAAGTGAGAGAAGCATACACTGATGTACTCCAAGTTCATTGGACAGAATAAACTCATTTGTAACTGCTTGTGCAAATAGAAATGATATGATCTTGTCGTTTAGGGGTGACAAGAAAAGACAGCATCAGGGTTCCAACAGGCCAAAAGGAAAATTAAGTTCCATATCTTTCTTGTCGTCTTAAAGGAAGATTTACTTCCATCTCTTTGTTTCAAGAACATTTGATCTTTATAATCAGCAACCAGATGTTCTCAACTATCTATCACGGCCCAGGCCCAACTGCCAAGGTATAGTCCGCTTTGGCCCGGTAGCTCTGGGCCACCTCAAGGCTTTTGCGCCTCATGGTTTTTTCCACTTGGGCTTTAACCCAAAAGGTGCCTCAACAGTTAAATCCTGAACTCCCCTTATATGGCCCCTAAATTTACCCTCCCATTCCGTTGTGGAATTTCCGTAAAACAAGTTTTCCAGCGAACCGCCTTTCGAGTAGCTGTTACACCATCTTTATTAGAAATTAAAAAAAATGCACAAGCACACTGTAGTAGCTGCTGTAGTAGCAGTAATACACGAGAAGCCATCTAATATTCACATCAATGTATTCTACCTGTTTAAAAAAAACATTCGCATATATGAAAAATGACATACCGTCTGTTGCTGACACATTATATGATGGAGACATCCAGTTATTCACACAACATATTTGATGCAAGTCCTGCCAAAAGAAAAATTGTTACATTTAGTTGGGGAAAATTACAACAGAGTAAATGCTTCATAAGATGCTATTCAGAAAATGGAAAAAATGTGAACAATCATAAAAGAGATGACATATAGTCCCGTGCAGGCAAGGCTGATGGTATTGTATGGTCAACCACAAGCATTTCTTAAGGATCACCCAACACATTAAGGAGCGCAGGGACAAATTATCGGACATGATGCTTGAGCATATCAAGAGCACAAGACATCATTAATCTACATGGAAATGATCAAGTAATAAAGCATGGAACAAACACTGAAAAAAGAGGAGAGATAAAATCCAAGCAAGTTCTGATGCCAAAACATGCCTGACATGCACGTTGTGAAGTGCATACAGCTTTGGGCAATTTCCTTCCACTCATAGGTTGAACCAAGCCAAGCTCTTCGTCAGGTTGATGGCCTTCTTCTTGGATAGCAGCTCTATCCTTCAAGCACATTTCATCACAGAAGCCCAGTAGCGTTTCTAGTTTTAAAGCCAAATTACCTTTGCCACCTACAAGGCTTTAAAATAACATGAGCACATTGACCTTCAGTAATTTAGATCAAGTTCATGGCACAGCAGTTCTGAGTAGTTCACAACTCCAAGAAACTACGAAATCATGATGAGGAATCAAAACCTCCACAAGGAAACTTGGCCACCAAAGCCTGATTTAATCACAGTTCTCAACCACACCGTACCCCTTCACTCCCACCCACCCTCCAGCACAGAGAGAGCAAAAAAGAAAGCAAGAAAAAGGAAACCATTTTAGTCCCCTCTTAACTAAGGACAGAGCACCCTAGGGTCTTTGTTGTACTCCATGCATAACAGTAACGTTGCCAACTCTAACATTTGTCCATACATGATAAAACTGGTAATACACTTACGATGTGAGATATAATATTGATAGCTTTTCTAGTTGTTTTGAGTGCAGCTTTTATGCACAAGTAACTGTATCTAATTGCTTAACAAAGAGAGAAGAAATACAATGCTATGAGTCTTCCATGTTCAGTACTTCAGTTATCCAACTCCGCAATACTTATTTTTTGCATTTGATAAGTTCCCACATGATAATGCATCAAGGCTTTATATTCATACATTAGTTGAGGTCAAAAATGGAGTAATTGCTTTAGTTTTGACGTCCTTCCCAAGCATATGTATAAAGGATGGTTGCGGGTAGATTTGACAACCAGCATGAGAATAGTCCAACTATGATGAATCTCCTAAAGGTTGAATTCATTACGACATGCCCACTACACACTCACCATGTCAGCTAGGAATAAAATGGGTCTAAAAGGAGATACAGAGGCAACTATTTTGGATAGAAACTTAGTTCATTTGACATTCATTTCTTAAAAAAGATCAAACAAGAGAGGAGGAAAAACAAACAACAAGCAGAAGAAAATAATTTTGATCCATACAGTACCAAGCCATGTAAAAAGAGTAATACTAGCACAAAGAAACTGAAACAAAAAAAGCTACTAAAGCCTGAGATAGAAATCATACCATCTAAGATTCTTTGAATACTTTTATCACATAATGCTATTTCATCTTCTATTTTATGTTGTTGATGACACTGCCAAGAAATGAATGCAACTTGATATTACTGAGAACCAAATAAAGAGTAAGCTCCACTAATCAGATTAAAAAAGTTATTCCACAGAATTTTTAAAATGGAAATAAGAAAAATAATACTCCCTCCGTTTCAATTTATGTGAACCTATTTCCTTCTTAGTTTGTGCCAAAAAGAATGACCCCTTTCCATATTTGGATATAATTTACCTTTATGCAATGATTTATACCCACACAAAATATCCGTGCTTCATTTTACACCACAAGTTCAAAAAAATTCCTTTTTTTCTTAAACTTCGTGACCAGTCAAATAGGTTCACATAAATT